TATAGTTTTTTCTTTTCTTAGAAAGCTACCAGCAGATGTGCTGCTTTAAGCTGGTGTGATTCATGCAGAACAAGAAATTTCCCAAAGTGGGCATCCACACACGAAGGAAATATGAAAGGACAGCACATATAATCATAGCACACATCTTTCATCCACTGTAAATCCACTTCCATAGTCATAATTCTGTCCTGATAATAATGACAAATAAAATTTATGACCATATATATTGGAACCTAGCAGGGTATGGTGGTGTATAGCTGTAATCCCTACACTCAGGAGACTGAGGCAGGAAGGTTGCTTCAAGTTTGAGTCCAGCCTGTGCTATATAGTGAGCTCAAGGCCAGCCTGCACTACAAAGTGAGATGCTGTCTCAAAAAAAAAAAAATGTTGGGTCCTGCTAATATTAGAGGGGGGAAAAGGTGTCTTGATTTTCCAAACAAAGAAAACTGTAGAGAATTTTAAATATCAAAAAGCAAGAAATGAACAGTAAGCAAGGAATTTACAAATACGGGTATAAAGATGGGATGACAGAGCCGAAGAGCTGGCTGTGCTGTGAGGGGGAGGATTTCCCACCTTTCCCTGGGTTCCTGTATTGTGTACGAGTAGAAGTAAACAGTATAGGCAGAAACACACTGACACTATAGATGAGAAGCTCTTTCCTTCACTGTGGAGTCCATTTCTCCTTTTTTGATAATTTCATTTTTCTTTGAAAATAAATGTTCCAGTGAATTCCTCAGACAACACTGTTACATATGGATTATGAGTGTGTTTCCTTAGCTGGTTTCCAAGCGCTGCCTTTGTGGAAGCCTGCAGGTTGCCATATGGTTAGCACCCAATCTACTAGGGCTGATTCTATGTCTAACTCCTCATTTTACTCCAGAAACTAGGCTAATCTCTGGCATGCACTACACAGTGTGACTTGATAAATGGAATTCTGGCCGAAAAAATGAATGCATTCCTAATCATTATTATCGTTTTTATGAGCATCATAAATCAAAGTTAAATATGAGAAAGCAGATCATTTTAAAAATTTTCATGAAAAATTGTTTGAAATATTCTTAAGGCATGCTAGGACAAAGTGCCTGTCTCTATTGAGATCTGTACATTGTGTCACCATCAAAGCTTCATACTCTTATTAAGGCACATTTTTAACAAAGTCCTTCTCTACTGAATTAATAAGGTGTATTCCACAGCTCACTCACTGAATTAATGATCAAAACCACAAACACAGGTACCACACTACTACCTATTTGGAATTGATTTTTTGTCCAGTTGTTCTGCATTCTCACAGCAGTTGCCAAGTTAATGATAATGATGTGAAACTCTCTATGATGATTATAATTCTTCAGCCTTTTAGGGTAATTGCATGATAGGTTGCTGCATTCTAGCATTCTCATCAGAAGGAGTTTGGCCAGAGTGGCCTGCTCCAGGGGTTCATTTCTGTGTGTTGGGGTCCTCTCCTTGCTCTGCTCTCTCTCTTCTGCCTTTGTTTTTTCACCTTCTTTCTCAGTTTTTCATGCTTACCTGTGCAACGCCTTGCGCCATTAGCTGTCTTGACAAAGTTTCACATTTATGGATGTGGCGCTAAATTCAGAATGCTTGTTTTGTTTAATCTTGATTGTATTTTCTAGCTGGATTGTATACTGAACTCAACACTCCGCTGAATCTTCTTTGTAGGGCTGTTTTGTGAATGAATAAGAGCTTATGTGAATCACTTATAACAGTGCCCGGCTTACAGTAAACTCCCCAGGATAAAATGAAAGTTACTTTATTTTTGGCCCTAGCGGACTATAAATTTATTTAGTGTAAGAATCACCAGGCTTCTCATTTATTCCGTGTTTCCTTTGGGTCATAATAGTAGTGATATACAGTATTTGCTCAATGATTTTTTGACTTCTAGGTGCACTATCTAGTTTGTCTTAACTACAGTAAAGGCAAACTCACTCATGACGTCCCAGAAGATATCTAGAAAACTATAAAGCAAAAATGAATTTCACGCACTATGAATGTATTATTTCTTATGGCAGTAGTCTTCTATATCTGCTTTTCACTTTATTCAGTTTCGGTTACCTATAGTCCACCCAACCTGAAATTACTAAATGGGAAACTCCAGAAATAAACAATCTGTAAGGTTTATATTGTACATCTTTCTGAGTAGCACGATGAAATCTTGCACTATCTTGCCTTTTCCTGTTCTGCCCCAAATACAAATACAAACCATTCCTTTGCTCAGCATATCCACACTGTAGTGCCACCTGCATGTTAGCCCTTAGCTGACACCTCAGTAATTAGATTGATTTAAGATCTTGCAGGGCCTGTGTATCAATAACTTTTATTTTATTTAATAATGGTACAAAAGAACAAAAGCTGGGAATGCCGAAGACCAACCATAAGGTGCTGCCTCTAAGAGAAAAGGTGAGAGTTATTGCCTCAATGAGGAAATAAAAAAAATTGAATGTGAAAGTTATTAAAATCTGAGGTAAGAACGAATTCTCTATCTTTGAATTTACGTAGAGGAAAATAAAGTCATGACAGTTTTACTGTCACACCTGAAAGTGAAAAAAATACCGGAACAGTCCATGATAAGTTCTTAGTTAAAATGGAAAAAGCAATAATACACACACACATATGCACGTGCGTACACACACATACATGTAACTTGGTGCTATTCATGGCTTCAGTTATTTTCTGAGGGTCTTGGGCTGGGCTCTTTGGATATATCCTCTGTGGTTAAGGGACACTACTGTTTACTTACAGTTTTTTTAAAAACTCAGAGTAAAATTACTTCATATTGTTGGTTCTTAGCACCATTAACTTCTTGGTCCTCTACTTTAAACCACATATATTTGTTTTCTGTCCATTTGGTTCTTGTTTGTGAAGTTCCAATCAGTCACATTAAAGGACTTACTACCTTGCATAAGTATCACCTGTCTAGGCTACTTGATAATTTTTTATGTATCACTCACCAGATGTCCCCTTCCACTCTGTTATTGTGTTAGCATCAATAAAGATAAAGATTTTTTTCAGAATTTCAGCCATCTAGTGAAAATTACTGACTTCTCCTTGAAGATAGTACAGGATCAGTGGACATATATACTGTGTTTTAAGTTTTTTGTTCCTATTTTCCATTTCTTGTAGCTGTGGAATTTCTGGAAACTTCTCTACCCATCACTAGTTTGTCATTAACTACTGAAGTGGGTCTAGGGATTTGTTGACACTGTGTACCGTTTTTGGACTTGATGGGTTTAAAAGTCATTGTCAGACCTGTTTTAAACCCCTCTGCTGGTGTCCCCCATATATGCTGTCTCTTCACCTCTTACCTTGGTAGGATTTTCAAATTTTCCCCCTTTTCAAAAGACCCAAGTAATATTTAAAAGTATGCTTTATTTTGAGAACTTCAGCCTTGATTTTGGTCAGCCTTCCAAACTGTTCATGTTTGTGTTCACAGTCCAATGGGTTAATTTTGCTCTATTTAAATATAAAATAAGTGAAAGGAAAAATATTTAAGTGAAAGTCTTCTGAAAAGAGAAAAAGTTTTATTCTGCTTATTGTTTATGCAAATAGAACATTTTGTTCACTATTGTGGAAAAGGTTTTATTTTATTTAAATTCAAAATGTGTAACTTTTCATAATTTAGTAATTTGATGGGTTCACTAAATTTGGCATTAAAATGGAGACTGTTTCAGCATATATAATTATTGATATTTGACTAAAACATATTTTTCCTGCCTCTTTACCTGTTCCTCACCTAATTAAACATAATGAGGAACACAGCTTTTATGCTACATCGATGCCTCCCTTTGAGACTCTGCAGCATAAGCAGCCCACGCTGCCTCTGTACGTTTGTGTGGCGACTATGAATTGTTAACACTCCTTTTTCCCTTTGTCCACTCTGCTTCCTGTTGGTAACAATGCTCACAATGTCTCAATCCAAAGAAAGAATTTAGCCTTGCTAAGCTGATACATGGGAGGTGGGGCCACAGAATATGGAAGAAAATTACCTAGACCAGCCCTATCTGATACGTTTTAAGGCTGAGCTAAGATGCAGACAAAGCTGCATGGAATTTAAGGAATTATGGCTCAAATGTTAAAGGTGGGTGTCTGAGGTCAGGCAAGGCTCACAATCCACAGGTGACTGTCCATATGGGCAAGTCCACTGAAGATAACTAGACTTAAACGCTAGTGAATGACTATGACAGAACAAGAGAAAGCAGGATGTTTCTACAGACAGTGAGGCATCAGCCATACTGCAAGACTCCATTGTTGGTACAGAATACCAATCCTGGATGCCATAAATGCATAGAAGGTGACCAGTCACCAGAACAAGACAGGCTAAGCCCAAAGGACAGAGGTATACAGGAACAGAGCTTGGACGAGTTGAAATTAATTATGTCTCCTAATTCCTAATTATATCCCCTAATGGTTTCAGTCCATTCCATTCTTCAAAGAAGTAAGAAATTTGTTAGACCTTCCTGTTCTTTCTGAAATATTCCTAGGGCCACCCATTGCTGATCTTTTTAGCACTGAATACTGCCATTTTGTCAGTCTCTTATTATACCACTTTTTATGACTGACTCACAACTTTGTGACTGTCAAAATTTTAGAGCAGAAAGCTACACATTATTTGGGATGAAGATAAAATGAGCCTGTAATGATTGATAGATTGTGTCAACTTGAGGAGCTTAGAAATTTAATGAATCAATTCAGCAGGGGGCCAGGGTTCTCACTTTGTAAGTATCCTGAGCCTGTGCAAGAGGAGGGTGCAGAGATGCTGTGAGTGCTACACTAGCCCTAGGGCGAGTAGCCTGCTTACAGAAGAAGGGAGGAGAAGAGGCTTGCTCTCCCCCACTTTTGCTCTTGCTGCTTTTGCTGTCTTCTGCTGCCTTGAAGTGTTGCCCTGTGCTATGTGCCCCCCTGCCTTGGAGTCAACTGATTATTAACTGAAACCACCACCAACTGTTAACTAAATAAATATTTCTTTCTTTAATTTTGGGCAACAGGTATTTTGGCTCAACAATGAGAGAAAAGTAACTAAGACAGAGATCTACTCACTGCCTGCTGAATGAGCTTGTATGCTACCCTGGGGAGATAAGACCAGAATAAAAGAGGAAGGAGAACTTAAAAATAGCACTGCTGGCGTCTGGAGCACAACAGGTGTGAAACTGTCCATTACTTCACTGATGAAGTGTCTTCGGAGCTGAAGAACTGTGGTTCAAGGCTGAAGTAACAAGCAACACCCTGTACTGAAGAGTGAAGGAGAATAAGGGGAGCAAAAGCCCTGCGGATTTGGTGAGAACAAAAAGTTCCTCAGGAACGAAACAAGTCTCACCTTTGAGAGAGCACTTTGTGCAGAGGCCATAGGGTGCTGTGACTGCGATGCTGGAGAGAAGAGTCTACAGCTCTCCTTCACTGCCTGTAGAGAACAATTATCTTAAAGACTTTCACCTCCCAGCAATCTTTACTGGAACGTATTGTTGGAGAGCTGTGAAACTTGTGAAAAGCATGAATTATAGCTGTTATCTATGCTTAGTTCACGGTTCTATAGAGCCTGCTGTGTTTTAGCAAAATGTTTGAAGCTCCTTTATTATTTAATGTTTTCATCTAACCTCCCGCATCTCACCCAGTAAGATCCCATCCAATACTGGCACTGAAGTAAGTAGTTATATTCTCCAGGACACAAGTTTGCTTTGCCTTGTTAAGTTTTGGCTCACTTTATGTCTTCTGTCACAGATGTGTGCCTTCAGCTGTCTTTCAGAAAAGTGCCTGCTTTTGAAATTTCTGCTATTTGTGCTGTGTGTGTGTGTGTGTGTGTGAGAGAGAGAGAGAGAGAGAGAGAGAGAGAGAGAGAGAGAGAGAATAGAGGCAGAAGCAGAAACAGAGACAGAGACAGAGACAGATGGAGACCTACGGAGACGAGAATTTATTTAATAATGGAGTTATTTTTTTCTCACTTAACAGAATGTTAGGAATATAATATAAAACAATTAACAGTAAACCTACATTTGTCATTGCCCTAGACATTTGCTTACCGGTGAACGTAGAATAATAATTTTTCTGTTTACCAGTTTACTACTAAAGTAGTTTTACTTATCCTTATTCTTTTGCTTTGCACATTTCTGACTCTCTTCAGATAGAATTCTGGAGGTAACACTGTTCGCTGGTGTACACAGCTTTAAGTATCATTTTGCTGGAATCCAAATGGTCTCCCTCTGGATACACACTGGTTCTCTTACATCTATTTGTGCTCCCTCCAGTTTGTAAGAGATGTCTATTTCAATGCTATGAATGTTCAGTATTTTGGATCTTTGCTAATATCTCAGTGGAAATTAAATTAGCAGTGGTTTCTCTTGATCATCAAATAATCTGAATTATTGATCTTAAAAAGTTAAAATTACTTTTAGATTTCTATGTATTTTCTTGACATTTTGTTTGAATTTATTCCACTAAGTAAATATGTATGTTTTCAAATTTGACTTGATAATCACTCTGAATGTTTTCTTACATTTCTTCTGTCATTGAAATATATTTTAATTATTATTTTAAGTGCTGTAAAATATTGGCCAAATCCATATGAAAAGTTTACATATATGTATATATATACACACACATACACATGTAATCATATATATGTACATATATAAATATACGTACCTAATCATATATAAATGTTCATATTTAATTTAAACATTTTGTTACAGTCTAATTGAGATAGAAAAAACTCAGGTAGTACTTTCGGTGTATAAACTGATAGGTGTTTTATAGGGCTGCACCCGGGCAGCCCTCACCACAATCAGTGTAAGGAAGCAATCAGTTCTCAACTGTCCTCATCCTTGTTGTAATCTCTCAGTTTTCTCAGGTTCTCATTTAATTAAAAAACCTCACTCCATTCCATTTCTATATATTCTATTGCTTTCTGTTTTCTGAAGTTTTCTATAGGAGGAATCATACAACATTCACACTTTTAGTCTGATATAGAATAATCGTTTGCTATTATATGAATTGTTTAAAGCAGTAGTTTATTACTTTTAGTGTGCAGTCTTATTCTATTATGTGGCTACTTCATAACTTTGCAAAGTCTTTCCTTACAAGGAAGCGTTTTTGCTGGTTTTTGCCAGTTACTTGGAGAGCCCTGATGGCTGTTTGTGACTACCTGTGTGTGGACAGCACTTTTTCTCTCTCTGGGTTAAATACCTAGTGATGGAATAGCTAAATCCTAATACTGTTGGTGAATGTTTAACTTTTAAAGAACTTCCTCTTTTTCTAAACTGGTGACATTGTTTTACATTCCCAACAGCAGTGTGTAAGTTCTGTTTCTTGTTGACTCCCAAAAGCGTACGGCAGTCTGTAATTTTGGCCATTCTAATAGGTGTTTAGCAGTAACTTGTTTTCTTAGGTGTAGATTTTATCTGATGACTAAATAATGTTTGGCATCATTCTGGAGCTTCTTTGAGAAGCACATGTCTTCTACACTAAGGGTTCTATTTTAATTAATTTTAAAAATTAATTTGATTTCTTTTTTGGAATTTGTTAAGTTCTCATGTATTGAGATAAATTCTTTTTGTCTGATGTATACTTTACAAGTATTTCCTCCAAGATTCTGGTTTCTTTTCCTTTACTTTAATAATATCTTTCAAGAGCCGAAGTGTTTAATTTTGGTGGAGTCCACTGTGCCCTTTTCTAGTTTGCGTTCATGATGTTGTATGGAAGAAGTGTTGGGCTCACCCACAGTCACAGTGTTTCCCACAGAACTTCTCAAGTTTTGGGTTTTATGTCTGTGTCTATGGTGTGCTTTGTGTTGGTTTTTAAGTGAAGAGAGGCGTGGCTCAGAGTGTTGTGGTTTCTGCTGCATGTGGACGTCCACTTTTCTGTTCCCGTTGTTGCAAAGACTGGCCTTTCAGTGCTGACTCACGTTTCCGTCCTCATCAGTCCTCAGTTGTCCCATAGAGGTGATTCATTTTCATCTTTCTGTTCAGTCAGGGTATTTACTGTTAAACCAATAGCATATTAATTCATCATTTTTACTCAGTGATAAATCTTTGAAGAAGGTTGTTTACCCTTTATTTTGTTTCTTTCTTTTTTTCCCTCCAAACTGTTTCATTTTTTTTTAAATGTAGCAAAACACACAGCAAACTGTTCTAGAACTCCTAACACTAATGAAAGTGGGCAGTTATCATGCAGCTGTTGGTTATTTCTGGAAATTCAGAAAAAGTGGAAATTTGTTTTGCCATTTTGTTATTATTCATTTAATTATTGCAAAATAAAATATTCATGCCCCAACTGAAGACTTTTAATCTAAGAGCATGACTCAAAAAAAGAAACGAGCCATCTGTGTTCTCTTCTTTTCATTATAATGTCACTGTAGTCACCCTGGGGATTTCCAGTGGATTTTCTTGAAAGCTTTGAAGAAGAGGAAAGCAAAAAGCAAACTAAATTGTTAGAGTGAAAGACTCACCAGGCTGTTCTTAGGTGTTTCGCAAGGGCACACATAGTTATGTCAACACTGATATTTACAGCTGCAGATAGAACAAGATTTATGACACTGATCAGTGTGTCACATGATGAGACTACAACTGAGATGAAAATTCATGATGATATAGCCATGGCTTAGAAATCCAACTTTGAAAAAACAATTGAAAACTAGCAAATGCTACCACGCAAAAATTAGTAAATATACAGATTTATTCTGGAAGCGATGTCATATTCCTTTCAAATCTAGAGGAAAGTTTTGAAGAAAGGCTGTATGTTGACTCACGGGGAACAGTGAAGTCTTTCTGTACACACATGTGAAATCTCTGTGGAGCTGCACACTTGTAGTCAGCTCTTTATCTCCTATTGCCGATAAAATACTTTTTCATACTCACTTGCGATTCTTGTTTCAATACTTTTTCTTGATTTTTATTGAGCATAGATCCCTTCCTGGAATTCATCCATTTCTGTGTGTGTGTGTGTGTGTGTGTGTGTGTGTGTGTGTGTGTGTGTACCTCTGCTGATTGAACTCAGTGAATATAGTGTAGTATTATAAGTCATGAAATCCAATTTCAAAATGTTTACTTGATGCTATAAAATAAAAAGAAATAGTAATGTTTAAATTTATTTGTTCATTTGTCTTGCTTTTCATTCAGTTGGTGGCTTCTGATAGGACAGAATTAGTGGAGCTCATTTTCTGATAAATCTTCCTGTAACCTATGCTGTGAGTTACATTTTCATCTGAAAATTCAAGAGGAAAGACACATAACTTTGAGCTATATTTGAAGGAAGGCATTCAGGATTGGTCCATGTGTAAAAACTCCATGGCCTTCATGCAGCATGCAGTGATATTTTTGTTCTAATATCTGTCCTGGTATGGAAGAGTTAAATACTATTTTAATGTATTTCCAATGTTTGATTATCTTAAATATTGGTTGATATTAAATATTTCATAGAATTTAAGAAGGTAGTTACAGATTTATTTTTTGTATGCTTGTTTTACCTTTTGAAAAATTTTGCTGTATTTATAGATAGTCTTCAAATTTCTTGAATTATGGTAGTATGAAATATAAGTAGTAAAATCTTTTTTTATAGTTTAAAATTTTTTATTATATGAAAAAATAAAACCAAATTTTTAAACAAAATGGGAGAGTACAATACTTATACATTACATATTATCTTCAAAGTAGTTAGAGTACAAGATATGGACACAGAAAAATTCTTCAAAGGATATTAGCACAAACCTTTCCTTTCAATGAACTAAGAGAAACTAAACATTTCATTTTAACTTTCTGATTTAATCTTTTGAACAAGCTAACCAAATTAATATTCAATTTCCAGACTGGAATAAAGACTGAGATTGTTTCAGAGACACAAACAACTATTAATCATTAGGTTTAGTCTTATAATTCTGTGATTTTGACTGTACTTTTTACCTGAAAATGATTTTATCCTGATATATTGATTTCCATAAAATAACTGAGGCATGTTACAGGGTGGATTCTCTTCACAAGTGTATTCAGATGGTCAAGTTGGTAATTTCATTCATTCTCATATAAGTGAAAAAGAATCTTTAGGAACAGGATCAGAAATTGATTTTAAATGATAATTTGGTGTCCTGACAGAGAATGTTACGAGTTTTCACTCAACCTCACAAATGCTGAAAAGTAAAGAATTTAAGGAAAATACCTTTACTCTCCTAAGAAGTAAAGTCCTTTTTAAGAAGTTCCTTAGTTAACCTAGTTTCACCAGTTGCAGTTGGAAGGTCTTTGACTCCTGAAGCAAAAACATGGAGAAGATAAGGGGAGTGACTGAGCACACACACATGAAAAGGCGCGCTCAGGCAGGAGACGGAATCTAATACTCATCAGAACTGCAGTGCCTTTGAGTTCCATGCACACAGGAACCTGGGTAACATCACCCACAATGGTTTTTAATTTCACTCAGTGCTAATCTGGGGTTTGAAATTTTCTGAGGAAAGTTGCATAGTGATTCCTGTGGTGTCCTTCACGTGATTTTGACATGCAGAAGTTAATTATTTTTTAAATGAGAGGGGGAGTAGGAAGAGGGAAAACATTACTTGTATCCGTTGTTGTGCTAGAGATTTCACTTGTAGAATCTCGTTCACTGCTTGCAGTAACTGAAGTAAAATGTCCTTGGTTGAAAGATGAAGAAAAGATCACAGCATGGCGGCTCCTTGTCACTCACTGCCTGGTGCCCACTATGGTGAAGAGAGTAATTTCACACGCTTTGGCTGAAGCGTTTGCTGATGTCAAGCGGCCAGTGGCCTTACAGCTGGTCCCAGGGCTTCCCTTGGAGCCGATGTGGATGGCCAGCTATTTCTTTCTTTTTTAGTTACTTTGGAAGTTGGTACCTTTCACAAAGTTGTTTTGTTTGATTTAAATTGTTCATTATTATTGGCATATGGCTTACACCATAGCAATTCCTGCCTGTTCATTGGATGTGTGTAAATTTGGAGCTCTAATGTATGTACTCTTGCTTTGCTCATCATAATTCTGCCTAAAAATCTATTAATTTTATGGACATTTTCGAGAAAGTAGATCTTCACTTTATTTTTGCCCCATTGGTTATCCATTTGCCGTGAATTGAGTGATGTTGCTTGCATCTTTTAATGTTTTCTCTTTTGTTTACTTTGAAGACTGGTTTTCCTTTTTGAAGTGTCTCAGGCTGAAGCTGGGATAGTAACCTAAAATACTTCTGCATTTCAATTCACTGTTATATATGTCTATTTAGTCACTATTTAAATAGCATCTCACAGATTTTCATATTTTGTATTTTCATTTAATTCAAACTATTTTATAATTTTAAATATAGTCTTCTCTTTGAACTGTGGATTTTATCCCTGTTTTTAATGTGCTAAAGATCTGTAAATACTTCAAATATGCATATATTTTGTGTTTTTCACTTCAATTCTAGTTTTTCATAGAAATTTCTGTATGTTTTAAATCTTTATTAAAAACTGGTTAATAATCTAGAATGTAGTCTAAAACAGTAAATGATCCCTGTGAAGGCAATTTTTGGAGGAGGATTTCACAAATGTCAGTTAGGACAGGTTGGTTGACCGTGTGGTGCAGGTTGTCTGTACCATTTCTGATTTACTTTCTTCTCAAGACGTAAAGAGCAGAGGCTCCTTTTCACGGTTCAATAATCTGTGAATTCCACGGTCAAAGTGCAGAGAGTTTCAGTTCCCAAAAGACCCTGCTTCACAGTTTGCAGAGGGTCTTCCTGTTGTGTGTCTCCGTACAGTGGAGAGAGAAAGAGGCGCTCTAGAGATTTTCCTCTCCTCATAACCTCACTCACTCCATCATGGCGGCCCTGCCTTCTCACTGGCATCAGAACTTCTTCATATCCGGTAAGATATTTACCATTTTCAGGGCTCCTTAATCTGTTATCTTCGATCCAGTTTCTTTCTGTATAAAGCATGTCATTAAAGGCCCAGAGTTCTTTAAATGTGTTGATGATTGACTTTCTCAAGTCTTATTTTCTGTAAGAATGTCTCTATTACATGTTCATTACTGGAATATGTTGGCACTGAATGTGGAACTAGACTTTGTCAGGTTTTTTCTTAAATATTTCATTTTCTATCTTTATTTTTGATGTAAGGCCTCACTGTCTAGTTCTGGCTCGCTTTGAACACACTATATAGCCTGAAACTTGAAGAGATCCTCCTGCCTCAGCTTGCTGAGTGGTAGGATTATAGGTGTGCACCACCATGCCAAGTTTACCTTTAAATACTTTAAAATGAACTATCTTGCCTTTCTTATTTAAATGCTTTTAAAGAGACATGTGTGAGTATTCTCATGACATTTTAGATTGTGCATCTTTTGTTTTCTTTTAATACAGAGGATTGAAGTGCAGGTCTTCATCCTAAGCTACCTACTCAGTTCTTTTGATTTTTTATATTGAGACATTAAAAAAAAACTCACTAAGATGCTCTGACTTAGGGTTAAATTTGCAATCCTCCTTCTCTGCTTCCCAGAAAGGTGGAATTACTAAAATGCACCTCCAGCTCTAGCCCATATGCCATGTTAAAGAAATGACCTCTTGAGATTGGGTTTGTTTGCTTGTCTCTTATATTTATTCCTTTGATTAAAATATGCCTTGGCAAGGTTTACCTCTGTGTTTTTTTTGGGGGGGGGTATTGTTGATTTCTTTTTTTTTTAAATACGTAATTTAAAAAATATACATAGTTTTCTGTAATTTGGAAACTAGCCATAATTTTGCTATACTTTTTCAAATAAATTGTTTTTTTAACCTCCCTTCACCCCCATTCTTTGGACTCCAACAATTAGTATATTACACTATTTACACCTTACTGACACTGTCTGTTGTCTTCTCTGCTATGTTATGGGTAGATTATGTGGCCATGTTTTCATTTTCTATGAACTAGGTTTTATGTCCAATTTGCTGTGTGGTGTCCTTTACCATAGTGCTGTGGCCTGGATATGGAAGTATCTTGGGAGAAGTTACTTGTATATGACTTACTGTTTTTTTTCTCCCCTTTGTAGAGTTACTATTTTACATTTTTAAAATTTCTGTCTGTAGTCTGAGTTATTTTATAAGGTTTTTCATATACTTTATTATTGCTTATGCAGAAACATTTCTTTTTGTGTGGCATAAGAGTATTATTTCTGTCAGTTTTGGAAATATTTTCTTCATGTTGATCTCACATAAATATTTCTAATATCCCTATTACCAACAAAATTATTGAGAATCAATTAAGCTAGGCTTTAAAGAAATTAAGAATCTAGAACAAGCAAATGTGACAAAGAAAAAAATACTACGAAATAAGGCATAGTTGTAGGAGAAGCATATCAATGGTCCACTCAAACATAACTGAATTTTGATGGAAATTTTTAAAGAAATACGTATGTTATTCAGAGAAATATGTGCAGTATGTTCCATGAGATGATAAGATCAGATCAGAAAAGTAGCTTAAAGGTGTATTTTAAGTGAGATAAAATATTTTAACTTGATATATTGATATTAGAAAGCTGAGATAATTTCCACAATACTTTGAGAAATTCTCTAAACTAAGGATATGAAAATAAACAAATGAGACAAACAAAGATAAATATCAAGTTTTCACTTATATGGGAAAACCACAGTACTAAAAATTAAAGAGCAAAACAAAAGATAATAGTAAACAAGGAGGTCGATCTTTCCTAAGAATGAAAGGGGTGGAGGTGGGGGGAAAAGGGGGAGAGGATGTCAGAAACAATTAACATGTTTTATGTACATGGACAAGTTCTTCTTGATGAGTGTAATTGTGTGTCACAGACGTGTCCTAATAAAATGAAATATAAAGATAAAAGCCAGTAATGCTTTCATTAGGAGCTGGAAGTAGAGCAGAGGAGAAGTGTGTAAATAGAAAGACATTAGAGATATATTCTAAGACTTAGTCAGAAGACAGCTGTGTGTTAAGACAGTCCAGCTCCTGAGCAAGCAGTCCTGCTCTGGGAACTGTCCACCCTCCATACTTCTTGACTGGGTGAGTTAGTGCATGTGTGTTTTGTGGTTGGCATATACAAGGAAACAAAATGAAAATCCCAAGGATCATGCCTTAGGTTTCCATGCTCTGGAAGAACTTGAAAGGGAATGA